GACACATTAGATGTGCCTCTCAATGACGACGTTGCAAAGATCGCAAGGGAAGTATTCGAAAGGTATAAAGATCTTGGAGGCAAAGTCGACCATATCAGCGTTACGCATGATCCCGCAGACGCAGCCAGGATATCAAGAATCAAGAATGCTCGAGCATGTTATGCCTGGCATGCATCTACACTGCAGCCGTGGAAGTTGACCGCCCATGTCATGCGAGACAATATCGCGAAAGGAGTGAACCTCCAGACCTACACTGTCGCGAAGTCAGTAATAGAGAATACTACCGGTGTTCACAAATGGACCGTGAATACTGATCGGGGAAGCATTGCTTGCGACACAGTTGTACATGCGACCAATGCGTACAGCGCAGCGCTGGAACCTTCACTGAAAGGGATCATAACCCCCAAACCTCACATGTGCAACAAGGTCGTTCCCCCGCGAAGTTATTCTGGATCGAACGCCATCAAAAACTCCTACGGCGTCCTTCTTCCCAACGGCGGCATATTCTCTATCAATCCACGTTGCAGTGCCGATGGCATACTGATGTTTGGGGGGTCAAACCCAGGCCAGCAGCAGCTCGACGAGTGGGTTGAGCGACATCCCGAGAACTGCATCAACGATGGCTTGTCGCGGGTCGATATTGTAACCGAACAAGTGCGAAGATTCATCGAGGAAAATTTTGAAGGCTGGGAAGATGCCGAGTTTGGTCCTGGCGAGGGTTTCGATTATAGCTGGAGCGGTATCATTGGGTTAAGCGCAGACGGTGTGCCTTTCGTGGGCGAGTTGCCTGGTAAGCCAGGTCAGTGGATTTGCGCTGGACATCATGGACAGTGAGTGTTTGATCTCATATAATAAGTCGACTGGCTGACCTGTTCAAGTGGAATGGCTCGTACCTTTACTGCCGCGCCTGGGCTCGTGAAGCTCATGCATGGTCAACCTTGGGCAGCAACTGGCCTCCCAGAAGTCTACCAAATGACTCCCGAACGTTTGCAACGACTGCAAAAGGCAAATCAGGAAATGGTAAAGATCGCTACCGTCTAGGAATTTTCATGTTGACGGGAACATATTTCGAGAAAGGGTCCCCAACAACTCACAGGGTTAATCCGCTCGAAGGCATATAGAATGGCATGGGTGTATGTTGGGAGACACTGCATGGAGCTTCTAGCTTGAGTTTGGCAAAACGCTTGCGACGACTTTTAAGCATTTAGTCTTGGCAGAGTATACGCCACAAAAGACTGAAACCAATCAGACAGCCTTTATTCAGCAAACCCACAATTGTTTCGCAAACTTGGACCAATTCTGGCGGAAGTAAATCTCGGCCCGAACACGGCTACCCTGCACTGTTTTATCAGCCTCAGGAACGCGCAAACGCCAAGACAACACCCTAGAGCCACGCAAGACGGTGACAGCCCTTGACCGACTCTGATTGGGTCTGATATGGCTATAGCATGAAAACATGCATCATCCTTGACTGTCTTAACTAGATAGCTCGGTGCCACAAGTTCACGGCAAGCATCTCCCGAAATATTCTAGAAGACAAGGGAGCACTTGCCGCGTCACTTGTGATGACGAGGGCAGAAACAGCCACGCGTAGATTGGTCGAGAGCGGTAAACAAGAGTCAAGTGTTTGTTGTATAAAGATCGTAGAGGCGTTCACGTTTCGAGATCATCACCTCGCTGCGGTTCTTCAGTTCGATACCAAACATTCACTTGTCAACTGTTTCATTCACTTACTACATTCGCTTTACCCGAAACCCAGCTTTCATCAACCTTCATCATGGTCAACTTCGCGTCTATCCTCGCCGCCTCTTCCGTCGTCGGAATGGCTGTTGCTCACCCTGGAGAGCACCACGACCACGCTCAAGTCAAGCGTGCAATCGATGTTCGCCAGGGCCGTGCCATGGCTGCCAAGCGCTCCCTCGAGAACTGCCAGAGTTCGCTGAAGCACCGCGACTTGATGGCTCGCTCCATGGCTCGCCGTGCCCAGGCGATGACCGACCTTCGTCAGAAGCGTGGCATCCAGACCAGCTCCAAGAAGTTGCGCCGTGATCTCGCCTCTCTTCAGGAGTTTGAAACCGTCAACCACAACATGACTTCCCAGGTCGACTTCACCGCCGATACCCCCGCCTCTGAGATCTTCGCCGCAAACACCAGCTACATTCTCTCCCCGGAGAACACCGATGGCCCTTACTACGTCCTAGGTGAACTTGTTCGCCAGGATGTCACGGAGGGACAGGCCGGTATCAAGGTGTACCTTGAGGCTCAGTACATTGACGTCGAGACCTGCGAGCCAGTCAAGGATCTCTATGTCGATGTCTGGAACTGCAACGCCACCGGTGTCTACAGCGGTGTTGAGTCTGGCCAGGCTGGTCTGGACACTACTTTCCTCCGTGGTATCCAAGCCACGAATGAGGATGGTGTCGTCGCTTTCGACACCATTTTCCCCGGTCACTACCAGGGACGTGCCACCCACACCCATTTGCTTACGAAGTCCAACGTCACCCTCAGGGACAACAACACCATCACCGGAGGTGCTGTTACTCACATTGGCCAAGTCTTCTTCCCGGAGACCCTCATTGATGCGGTCGAGGCTACCGCCCCTTACAACACCAACACCGTCGAGCGCACCACCAACGATGACGACATGTGGTCCATTGTCCAGGCTGAGAACAGCTTTGATCCCTTCCCCGAGTTTGTGTACCTTGGTGACAGCATCGAGGACGGTCTTCTTGCCTGGATCCAGATCGGTATCAACTCGACCGCTGACCACTCCGACGACGACTACTACGCGGTTGCTGCTACCTACTACGCCACTGGAGGTGTTGCCAACGCGAACAGCATGGGCATGGGTGGATCCGGTGGTGGTAACATGACCAACGGCACCATGCCCTCCGGTGCTGCCCCGTCTGGTGCTATCCCTACCGATGCTGCCGCCGCTGCTGCCTCTACTTCGGCTGTTGTCCTCTCCACCTCTTCTGCTTCCAGCGTCTCTTCCGCCGCTGCTGCCCCCTCCGGTGCTGCCCCCTCCGCTGCTCCTCAGGGCAAGGCCCAGGGTCAGAAGCAGACTCAGAACCAGGCTCAGAACCAGGCCCAGAACCAAGGCCAGCAGAAGCCCAGTGGTTTCGCCACCAGCGCCCTGCCTTCTCCCCATCGTGCTAACTAAGCATGTTCTGTTACAGACTGCTTAGCCATGTGCGCAGTGATGTCCACCATGGCTGTTGTTGAGTGAGCAATTATTGTCTTGCTCTAAAGTTTCTCCACTGTATATAGATGCATGTCCCGGTGTATGATTTCTTTTCTTAAACCTTCTTGTACATACTTAAGACAATGATTTAAAATCGATATGCGCGATTCGTTACGCTTTTATTCACACACCTTCCACACATCTTCCATTGTGACTGTCTACTCTAAACAATCTAAACAAAATATAGGAAATTTCAAATCTTACATCGCCTTCTGAAGCCAAGAAGATCGGAGTAAGCAAGTGAAAGATTATTTTGGAACGGCTTTGTGATCGTAATCGACGTGCAATCGTATAATTCATCGGCTCATCTTGAAAGCAAGGCGAAAAGGGGTGTACTTGATCAATGACTCACCTGAAAAGAGTGCTTATAATAGATTTCCAGGTCTGCAACATTCACACAGGCGCAGTGGCACACAGAATAGAAGTAAATTCATGCATTACTGCTGCTCGAAGTACCATCTCACTGACACTCAAGTTTGCAGATTGTTCAACAGCCTCCGCATCGCGCTCTTACCACAACTCGAAACCTAATATGAAGTCATCGAATATGCGACATGTCTGTGACTCCTATTGTACAATATACAATATAAAATAGGTTCTAATCCGCTGTTTCACCGGATCCTCTCTCGAGAAGTACTGTAGGCATCAACGTTGTGTTGCTCTCAACAATTAGGGTAATACCACTTAGGACCATGGTGCATCCTTGTCGTTCATGACGACACATTCGATAAATGGCTATTGCTTTTTACCCTGTTTAAGAGTAGCACAATCACCAAGTAGGATAATCTGGCGATAGGTCAAAGGTTGCAAGCGTCAGTGTGCAACGAATGTACGAATACGCTATGCGCCTGCTAGTGCCAAGGAAACTTGGGATATGACAGAAAGACTCTCCATTGCTAGTATAATATGACCATCGGGGGGAAAGCGTATGGTTCGACACAAGGTTTGGTGATGGTGTTGGGTCGCTCGGCGTCTACAAAGTGCGGGAGAGCGGGGCTATGGCACTGCCGTCGACACACAAATCCCGCGGTACTGAAAGGCTGCACGTCAGCCAGGGGGTAATTCTCACCTCACCACTCGCTACCAAAGCCCGCACGTTGCATTGCATTGCCGCGACGGTTGACGTGGCGGCCGCAATCTTACGAACTGCCTATAAGGGTAGTTTGCGTGCAAAAGTATTGATCGCAGCGCTTCATCCACGGTACGAGACGGAGTTTGACGATGCGCCGTGAGCAGTATTTCCATGGGAGCGTTAGTGCACGACTGAGGGGTGGGTGTGAGAGACGGGACGAGGACGAGGTTATCCTTGTTATATGGTGGCGAAATGTATGAGGTTTCAAGTACTTATTTAGTCTGTAAGAGCATCGCGCCGGCGTAGAAGGTGTCTGCGAGAAGAGCATGAACTTGAGAACATTGTTGGCCTTCTTCCTCGTAGCTCGTAGATAGCACTGTTTTCTTTATGTCGTAATAAATAAGCGATGGAACAGCGTAACGCTATTGGCGGAACAGATCCTTGCTCTAGGTGGTAGGAATTGTAGAGACATGCCATTTATGTAAGACTTACTATGGACGTCATTTAGTATCTCGCTGCTAGTCCATTGGTATAGTTTTTTTTTTTTTAGACTCCAAGTCCCGCCCCGCTCTGGCTCATCGCTAGACTACCAGAGTTCCCGCCTCTTAGGCTCCTTCGCTGGTGGATCGCTTTGGCATAAGCATATATACTATATTTCGGCCAAAAAGCATATGGAATCATCTAGGCAAGATGGCCGAGTGGTTATGGCGTGTGACTCAAGCGCAAGCTTGCCTCAATAGAGGCTGCATTCTCATGGGCTTTGCCCGCGGGGGTTCGAATCCCCCTCTTGTCATTATCTTTTTGCTATTTTTATTGCCTGATTCACCACTGTTGTGGTTTAGTCCTCTCTTGTCGTTATTATTTTTGCCATTTTGGCTTGATTTATCGCCGTTGTGGTCATAATTATCGTCTACCCAGTCAGGCTTTGTACTAATCAACCGAGGTGGATTTTTTGTCTTACGTCGGCCTACGGCGTTGACTTCCCTAAAAGTCTACCTTGTAGGTAGGTCGCAACTTCAACGTCAGGATCGTGGACCAAACAACTTTTCACCCTTCAACCTCGGTTGGCAGTCGAACGGACCGAGTTCGGTTCCCGTGCTCGGTCCGACCGTTTCCCTCGGCATTGTCCACGAGACGAGGGTTCTTGAACAGTTTTCTACCCCCACCCAAGCGCGTATGATCCAAAGAACGGAACCATAGGCCGATGCAACTAATCTCATTTTCTGCAAAGGAAAAAGTTGGCGGGTAAGTAAAGGGCCGATACAATTAGATAGACGCGAGGTATGTCAGGCAATGGCCCGTACGTTATCTTTGCCTTTACAGTGTCACTACGAATGACATGTCCCTTTGTGAAAGATCCTGGAAATACCATTACATAGGAAGGCCTGGCTTCAAAGTCAACAAAACCATAAAGTCGGGGTTGATCCTTATTATGCATTCACCACAATTTTGCCATATAACATGTGGCGGATATGAAAATATTTCATTTAGACAACAGCTAACCCATACAACCCATGATTTCTCAAGGCTCATTAGTATATCCATCCAGGAAATTTACAGTCAGAACGTTCCTCTTTTCCTTCAGAAGAGTCTCCCTCCCTGTTTCCAACAATCTCGTCACATCCTGTCGACAATCTGTATCAAAGTCAGTAACCATCTTTCATATCCACCACGCAAAACCAGCACTCACCCAAATAAAGCCCCCGTAGCTCCTTCCCCTGCCCCGTAGCCAGCCACGCACACGTCTGACCACAAAGATCAGGCCCATCCTTAAACAGGGTTTTGAAAAACTCTTCGTCTCGAATATCCCCGTATTTCGCTCGCACATCCTCATCCGCCCCAGCTACACACATTAGCACATGGAACACCTCGCAGAGAGTAAAAGGAACACTCACCTCCACCCATCGCCGACAACACACCACCAGGATGCAGCGCATAGAACTGAATCTTATCGTCCAAACCATCAAGCACCATCTCCCTCTGCAGCGTATGCGTAGCCCGAGCCAACGCCGCCTTACTCGTCACATAGCCCAGAGTCATAGGGACATCGACCGTCGCACTCCTTGAAGCGATATTGATGATGCAACCCGCACCCCTATCCCTCATTCGCGGTAGCAATTCATGGATAGTGATAAGCGGGGCTTTGAAATTGACTTCGATCTGGCGCCAGAAGCTCGCCATGGTGGACATGAGAAAGGGTCGCTGATCGAATATGCCTGCGTTGTTGACGAGCACGTTGATAGGACCTAGCTCTTTCTCTATCGCGTCCAGGGTCTCTTTTACTTTCGCTTCGTCTGTGACGTCGCAGGCGTAGACACCTATCTTAGTGCCGTGTTTCTCGCATGCTTCTTTCGTCTGCTGCTGCGCTGGGACAGAGAGGTCGAGAATGGCTACGCTGGCTCCGGATTTCGCGAGCGATTCTGCTATTGCGGCGCCGATACCTTGCGCTGCTCCGGTCACGACGGCGACTTTTCCTTTGTTGGAGGTTTGGAGGGCGTCGGGGTGGATTGGCCCGTATGGAGCGTGTTGCAGGGGGACAGTGGAGGTGCCGAATTCGTTGGGATCCATGTTGGCGAGACTCGATGGATTGAAGAATCAGGAATGTACAGAGTGATGGGGGATACGATACTACAAGCTACAGGACAAGATATACATATCGGCAATCGAACAAATGCTAAGATGCGGGGGTTCTTGGGCTCTGCTACATGCCCCACATGCATATTGTGGGGAATTGCCAGCGTCCAAAACTAAAAGTGCTGCAAATGTTCGTAAGCTTGACCCATTTCCTCAGCGGAGCCAGTTTTTCTTGACTTCATACGGCCTCCTTAGTCTCCACAAACTCGGTCTTCACACTGACTTTCCTCACATCCTCAGCATCCGCCCTCGCGATCCGATCATCGGCCTCAATGAACTCTGTCGGCCTGCGCAGCTGCACGGCCAACTTATTCCGGTGGACGAATATACCTGGGCTTGTTTCGAAGAACCGATCGATATCTTCCAGTGTCCTACACAACACCACATTAGCACCACGCTCTCAAACACCAACAGCCCATGGAAAGTTACATACCTGTTTGCAGTCTCGGGATAAAAGAAGTACGTAATCGGGATGAAGGCGAAGCAAATGACGGCCCAAATGATCCAGAATTTCCACCCGATATTCTGGATACCGGGTAGTGTGACTTGCACGACAGCGTAGTTCATGATCCAATTCGTAGCCATGGCCAACGAGGCGCCTTTCGTCCGCATCTCAAGTGCGTTGATCCTTGAAACCGTCAGCATTGATTCCGAAAGGAATGCACCGATGATGGGGGGTATGACTTACTCTGTAGGATACAACCACGGCACTCCAAGCACACCCATGCCGAAGCTGGCGAAGAAGACGAAGAAGAAAGACACGGCGACAATACCGAGCTTATAGCTGTCACCACCGTTCGCCGATAGACCCAGTGCAATCGCAATTATGATCCAGCAGGTGGAACACGCAGCAGCAGAAACCATCATGACCTAGCATTTAGTCAGCACCACTCACATAAGACCATCTAGAGACCCTTACCTTTCTCCTGCCATATCTCTCAATGACAAAATACGCCAAGCAAGCAAAAACCAGATAATCCACCGACCCAGCCGCTGCCAAAATCCTACTCAGCAGCTCCGAGATACCCAAAGCGTTGATAAAGATATACGACATGTAATAACTCGTCACATTGATGCCCGATATTTGATTCATGGCCTGCATCCACGCACCCAGAATCATTCTCCTAAGCACCCCAGCGGGGCCCTTGCCAGACAGCAACTGCCACCACGTATACGTGTTCATGTGTTCGCGATCAAGGATCTCTTTGATGATGTTGTACTGGGTGCGAACGGATGGGGAGTCTGAGGTAGCGCCGTGGCCCTCGAGTGCAGCTAGGACTTCGAGAGCTTCGTCATCTTTGCCCTTGCGGATGAGGAGGCGCGGGCTGTCCGGGAGAAAGGGGCAGGTTGCGTAGATGCAGAGGGTGAAGAATATCTGGAAGGCGAGGGGGAAGCGCCAGGCGACGTCGCGGGGGGCGAAGGAGAAGGCTAGTGTGAGCCAGTTGGAGATGGAGAAGCCGGTGATGCAGTTTGCTATCCAATGTTAGTTTAGAAGCGTAAGTGCTACAGGTGTTTGCATACCCATCTGGATGATGACGAGTTTTCCTCGACTACTCATTTTGCTCGTCTCAGCTTGCCACACGCCTGCAGTCGCTGTGTTCATTCCTGTTCCCAATCCCGCAACAATGCGACCGACCATCATCTGAGCGACGCCATAGCTAGCACTTTGAATAACAGCCCCGATCGCAATTATTGTTGATCCGAGAATAATTTGCCGCGGTCGTCCGAGAATGTCGCCAGTCCAGATTGTAGACATGGCGCCGATGAAGCATCCAATATTGTAGATCGAAGTCATGACACCCTAAGTTCATAAATCAGCTCTACTAAACAATCCGACTGCTGGGATTATCGTACCTGCATGTCTGCCGACGGATGCCCGAATGTCTCCAAAAAGTCCTCACTGATGATGACATTGCCAAAGACGCCCTGATCGTACCCGTAGAAACTGTATATGAGTCAGTCAACCGGTTTCCCCGTCGTCAACGCGATTCTAACACCAATACTGTAATATGTCAGTCACTAAAACTTCCAGAAATGCAAAGAGATGATTGCATACCCGTCGATGCCGCAATCGAGATCCACACCGTGAGTCTCTCTCCCGACCCACCAAGATACTTGCGCGCCATTGCTCCTAGAAGTCTTTCTCCACAACAACAATTTAATAAACGCTTTTTTCGTCGGCGCAAAAGTTCGTCGTGATAACAATGCCAGTTATCAAGAAAAGAGACTCAAGCCCAAATTCGATCTCAATCTCATTCAGCAAGGTATCCAGCTAGCACCGTACCGTACCACCAAACAAGTCCCAACAGCGAAAAGAGCTCACCAATCTCAATCTCGCAAAATCCAACGATGAGATCAAGAAACCAAACGCCCTCCCTCGTCGCAGGGAACCAATCCATTTATACACATTCATACACACCCCTCCTCACCCACAGCCTCGGATACCCTCACCCATCACCGTGGAATAATCACAAGCCCAACATCCAATAATGCCATGGATGCAATTGAATTTACCCCAGGCTTCCCCATACCCCATACCCCATACTCTCACACGACCCACATCATCAGCGCCATTGGATTCGGCACAAGACCAGTCTGTAGGTCGCGATGCTTATTCCGGCAACGATCGAAAGCGCTCTCGGTGGGAACACTGCACGATACCCTGCACACACGCGAAGCCAAGTTTTCTCGAGAGCTTCGCAGCGATGACGATGCGTGGGGATATGGTTGAGGATCAGACCGGCGTCGTCGGGGTCGGGGGAAGAGAGGGGGCGGAATACGAGCGCTCGGCTTACTTGCTTGAGCTAGCGTCGGATGCTCTTCGGGGGGAGGTATGCCGAGGGAGACTGCCGGAAGATATCTTGATCTTTGGAAACTAAACCAGGTATTGGGTAAGACTAGATTGTGAGACACGCTTTCGTAGGCGACTCTTGCTAACACAAAATGAATTCAGAATATGGAGCGTATTCTCATTTGTGAAAGCAGAGCTGCAGACATACGAATCCTACAGGAAATTTTGGGTCATGTTAATTTGCTTATTTGCTTACATGCCCTACTGTACATATATAACAGTGTATCTTGAGATCTCAACTCTATCCACCACTCTACTCCCCCAAGGGGTCCACAAACGGATCCACCGCATTTCCTTCCGGGTCATAC